CATCAATTCGTACGGTGGTGAACTACGACGTTGCACGAGACATCGACACACACACCCACAGGATCGGTAGAACGGGTCGTGCTGGAGAGAAAGGTGTGGCCTACACTCTCCTCACTAATAAAGACACATCATTTGCTGGGGACCTGGTGCGGAATCTGGAGGGAGCTAATCAGGCTGTTTCCAAAGAACTGATGGACTTGGCCATGCAGGTTAGATAAATCACTGATTCACAAATAATATTTATCTGGACTAAATGCATCACTTTATTAATTGATTTTTTTTTTATAAACTTTGCTCAATTTGCATTGTTTTGGGGTTTTTTTCCCCAGAATCCCTGGTTCAGGAAGTCACGATTCAAAGGTGGCAAAGGAAAGAAACTGAATATTGGTGGAGGTGGTCTTGGTTACAGAGAGAGACCCGGCCTTGGGGCTGAAAGTTCTGTAAGTTAAAACCTAATGATTGTAATCATTAATGCACACTGTAAATTAATTAGCAAAATGCCCATAATAACAGATAATGACTTATAACTGTTTTCTTTACAGGATCGTAGCAGCACTAGTAGCTTGTTGTCTTCCACTAGTAGCTATGAAGGCTACAGCAAACCAACTACTGGGGCAATGGGAGATCGCATGTCTGCAATGAAACAAGCCTTCCAGGTACTCACTAATTCAATTTTTCTGCCATTCTCCTTTATGGTCTATAATTATTCCTACCTAGAGAGATTTCAAATGCACGTTTACGACATAGTATTAGGGCCACATTAAGAAAAAAAATATTATTGATCATTTTGAGAATAAAATAAAAGTTGAAAATCGAATTAGAGAAAAAATTCAAAATGTGGAGATTACATTTGTTGTTTCGAGACAAATTCCCACGGCTGCTGTATCCTCAGAGTTACTGAAATCGTACTTCAGACTCAGCTTAAGTGACAAGGAAAGAAATGATTTCTCTTTTAGCGCATAAACACAGTGTGGTGATAAGAACGACGGTGAAAAGAAGATTCAGAAGCTGCATTTGGTCAAACAGAAAAACCACACAAACTTGGAAGAGTGCATTTGTACAAAATGGAAGGGCTGGTAATGGACAGAGGCAAGATTATCGATGGTTCCACCCTCGTTCAATAAAGAGGATGTATGTTATATCTACACAAGGCATTTTGTAGAGGGTATAGCAGCCGTGACAGTTTGCCTTAAACCGACAGCAGTAATCTGCACGATTCAACTTTTAACTCAAATTAGTATTTCGACTTTTTTCTCAAAATGATCAATAATATTTGTTTTTCCTCAGTGTGGCCCTAATACTCCTTTGTTAGACTTACCTCCATGTATTATGTATAAAGATTTCTGTAACTCCTCAGTGCTTAATGCAGTATTTTTTGTTTAGCCGCTTAAATCAAAGCTGAAAAGCAGTTCAGTTGCATCTTGATGAGTTCATCTTAAACTTACTGTGTACGCTTACTTTGGACATTCTTTGTAAGAAAGGAATAAATGCCTTAGGTTTAAGATAGTTAGTCATTCATAATGTCTCTTTTTCCTCTAGGCTCAATATAAGAGCCACTTTGTAGCTGCATCCAGCGGCCCCCCAAAGCTCAGTGCCAAGTCTAGTGGCTCCTCAGGATGGACCAGTGCCGGCAGCCTGAGCTCTGTGCCAACAGAATCTGCCAATGGCTCAGAACGGTCTCACAGTGCTACCTTGTCCATGGTGGGTTTCACCAGTGCTGGCTCCCTGAGCTCAGTGGCCCCCACCAGTCAAACCAGTTCACTCCAGAGCTACACTCCACCTGCACCTCCGTCACAGAGAGAGAGCTCACGTGATAGACACGGGGACGACCGGGGGCGTCACGGTGACAGTCAACACCGCCATAGCGACAGGAACGATCGATACAGTAGCGAGGATCGCTACGGAGACCGGGATCGTCACGGGGATAGAGATAGAGATCGTGACCGCCACGGCGACCGTGATCGCCACAGCAGCAGCCGCCACAGTGACAGTCGTAACGGAGATGGAAGCAAGAGGGACAGAGATGATCGGAGGAGTGATAGGGATGGGGGAGACAGGGGGAGTGGAGATGGGAGGGACAGAGGAAGCGATAGCTTTGCTGTCCCTGAACCACCTAAACGTAGAAAGAGCAGATGGGACAACTAAAGAGAACATAAACACATTAATCGATCTTTATGTGCACCCAACTGCTCCATAACAAGCTTGTCTGTATAGGCAGATAGCAGAGCATATCAGAGGCTGACACAAGCACAGAACCGTAGGGGATATTTTATAGATTTCGATTAGATAGGAAGTGTACCAAACCTCCTATCAGGCTGGTTAGGACATCATGGTTTGGAGTTTAACAGTTTGGTCAGATCAGCATAAGCGGCTCCGAGACAGCTACTGTACATATACCATCTAAGACTGTTGTTATTGTAAGTCAAGTCAAGCAATACAGCTGTAATAAATCCTCCTGTCCATTAAAAACAATCAAATTAGGATGTGTTATCGTTGTTTGTCTCACTGGCCTCATGCTTTTGGCTTGCAAACTTGATGCTTTATTTTCTCCAGTGGTTTTTTGCCAAGTGTGTTTGTATTTTTGCATTTTGTTAATCTACAAAGCAAACTGTTTGATTTCTGAAGGCGCACTGTGATGATTCACAGTCACTCGAGTACATGTCAAAACAAATATGTATAGTTCTTTTTGTGTCTTGTATTCAAGTTTTAGTGAAGTGCCTCTCTTCGGCATTTAGTCTGTATTCCAAAATGTTTTCAAGAAAATGCATTTGTTTGAGAGGAATTTCAAGTGTATATTGACATGGAAAATGAGAGGTTTTTGATTAAAAGGACTCCTTTGGCACATGCTTTTATATATTCATTTTTGGCTTTCATTACATAGTGATAGGGTCAGAAAGTTGGGATTGAGATGGGATGACATGATGCAAAGGGACTGGAGTGAAACCCAGCCTGCCACATTAAGAACTAAGCTCTTGTTGTATGGGCTGTTGCTTTAGCATCATGTGACATAAAAGGAGTTTTTACTCTTGATGTTAAAATCCAAAAAGGTGACATGAAAGATGGGAGTTGTATATTTCTCTAAAGTGGTTTAAATTCATTTAATTTAAACTTAAACAGTTCCTGGCAGCAAACAACCACAAAAAAGTGGTTTTGTCATTTCTCACTGTGGCCACTGGGGGGCATAAATGGTTGTGATACGCATCATTCCACATAATCGTAGCGGTGTCAAACATATTTTTGCAGGCAGCTCAGATATTTGCGTATAATCCCTGTGCAAATTTTATTCACATAAACTACAAAGCAAAAAGTAAATAACTAGCATGTCACAATTTTACTCCCCCTTTTCAAAAAAGTTTAACCAATTTTCTCTTCCATATTTGGCATTCACTTCACATAACGATTGGTTTAACTGCTTCAGTGTGTTGCACACTGCTCAACACTATGACCTGTATTTTCAAATTAATTCTACCATGGCTACCTATTTTACTAACATTTACTGGCTTCTAGTCTGGAGCTTTTGATCAAAATGAAGTGTAATTTCCTGTGTGTAAGAGCTTCAAAGAAGGCAACTGGACATATTTAACTTCTTTGAAGATGTTTCACCTTTCATCCAAGATGCGTCTAAAAGATGAAGAGTTCCAGGTATTTAAACCCTAGTGGGAGTTGTTTCTTAAGTGGGGGTGATTTATTTTATTTATTTATTTTTTAAGTCGATGATGCAATGTCCTCGAATAACTTAAAGACGTCCAATCACTGTCTAAACTTTCAAGCTCTTAAGACTACCGTGACCGGGATCACCAAGAACCTACACAGATCTAAGACTATCCACTTTTGATGGAGCATTTCTACATTATTATGAGGATATATATGGATATAAATACATTAGTCTTCTTACATTATGTACTTTATTTTGGTAACTTGTAATCTCCTGGTTTAAGAATTGATTGAATCGGGAAACAAATATAATGAATAAGGTGAAAAGCTGATAGTTGATAAAGCAAATAAATATGTGTGCTGATAATATATCACACATTATCACACGATTAGATTTTTGTGTTATGATGAACAGCCTAAGATGTCTAAAGAAACAAAGGTGCACTTTCACCATAACATCTCAGTTTGTCCACATTGAGTGATTTTACTGTTATCACTTCCATATTACTCACATTCATATATATATATCTTTTTTTTTACTCATACTAACAACTCGAAGTGTTTACCATACATTCACGAAACACTTTATTTTATGCACTTCAAGGACTTTACCTATCTCTTACCCATAGCCAATTCAGAATTCACAGATAATCTAATATGCATGTATTTTGACTGTGGAAGGAAGTCTAAGTACCCAGGGGAAAAGATGCAAACTCCACACAGGAAGGCTATAGCTCGGGTTCAAACAGTGCAGCTTTTAAAGGCACAAAACCTGCACAACACGCATTTTTGTAACAGATGAACACAGTACAATAGTATTTTGCACCTTTATGATCAGAACTACATGTATTTAAGTAAGTAGTAAGTTAAAAATATTTTCAACTTATAGCACATTTTTACTCCTGTGTATAAATACTGCCATCGCATCACCCCACGAGGATTATCAGTGAATTAAATTAATAAAATAATGCACGATTCCGCGGTACATTTAGTCACATGGTTTTGACAAATTTAATGCATAGAAAAAAACAAAAAGCATCGAAAGCTTACATGACATGTTCACACACTTATGAATTCAGGAAAGACACGTAGCAATAATATGAATAATATCAGAAGAAATGTGCAGTTCAAAGCAATTACCAAAGAATATCTAAACCAATAAGCCGGAAATTATTATCGTTGTTCCTTTAAAACATGTAGATTACGATTAAAATATATTTAACCTTTATTTAAAAACTTTCTGTTCGAGCCTTAGTTGTGATTTGTCCGATAACCTGCGAATGTGTCAGAACAGATGAGAACCAATAGCGTGCGACCTTCTGCCGGAGGAAAAAAAACACGTTCCGTTGAAAACCCGAAACGAGAAGCGAAGAGGAGGCAGAAATTCGCCGGCGTTGGGGTTACTGTCTCCGAAAAAAATCTTGCCTTAACCCAAAAGTGAATGAGAGGGAAGGTATCTGCCTCCAGCTACTGAGCAAGCAGACTTCGTGTTATCAGCCAGTGTATCGCAGACAAGAAGCCAGATGGTGAGTGTGTATTTTTTTTTTTGTCTGTTGCACCGTGTGTGTGTCTGCAGCCTCCCCTCCCTCCGCCGCGCGCCCCTCTTCTTCTTTTAATTTTTTTTGTGAGAAGATGTGAGGTGGTAATGTCTTTCCACCCGGGAACGGTTAGCTGTGTAGAAACCGATTTGTTATGTAAACCACTGCGTGAATTGCTGGGGCAGGAGGAGAGAATCAGCTCTGAAAAATTTCCACAGAATTTAAATGCCCGCCGCCGCAGCCGCCGTGTTCCTCAGAAATGCTAACAGTGTGCCGCTTCTTGTCTGCTCGTTAGCTAGCTCGATGGCTAATTACTATAATCTAACCATAGTATCTAAATATACTATTGGTGCGTTATTACAAATCACTCTTGCTTATTATTAAGTCTACGACTTATTAATTTTCGTTCCTTTTTATCGGCCTACTTATACATGCGTTTAAATCAGCTGAATATTATGTGGCGTGTATTTATGTTTTTGTTTTGCTTGAGCTGCACTAGCCATAGCAGATTGTCATTACTTGCACCTGATATTTCTGTAGCAATTACACCAAACCATGGACGAGCATTCAAGAAACCTGGGAAAGAAAAGCACGCAAAAAAGTATAAAGATGCGTGTTGTGTTCCACTCACTGGGCATACTTTGCAGCCAGCTGGCTTCATACATGATCATAACATAAATGTTGACTAGCAGCATCCATCCAGGCATTCCTGCATCCCTATGAAATAACTGTGTTCATTGAGGGATAAGCAATTATCCAGGTTTGAATACAATGGATATACAATGAATATAATGGTCCTCTTTGACTTTGCCCTGCAGCATACAAAGTCGCCTTCCAAATGTAGAAGTGACTGGGTTTTCAGCTTTATTTGCACTTACTGTAGTGGTTTGTATTGTCAAACCATTATGTGCGGTGTGGTAAAACCACATTTCATCCATCCAAAGCACCACAGCTTTAGAAATCTGTAATTATGGCCCTGGCATATGGCGAGAAGGCTTAAGTAAGTATACCGTCATTCTCTGATTTCCTACTATCATCAGTGTACTGTCTGAGTGTAATTTCAGTTGGAGTAGACTGCACAGATTGACACCCTGTTCTGCTGCCTGAACTACGTCAGTATCCTGCTGGATTTGGGAGCCTGTTGTTGCAGTTTGACTCACTTGTTTGCCCAGACAGTAAATAAATAAAGCAGCTTTCAGCAAACCCCATTTTCCAAAGCTGCAATGAGGACTACTAAAAATTGTATTTAGTTTGTCCATATGCTGTTCTGTCAAACAATTACCATTAACGGCACAAAAACCTAATTTGTTGGGCATGTCAGAAGTGCCATATGTTGGATGGAAGGGGGGGGTTGCCTGCTGTCAGATGTGCAGAGGAGTATTAAATGGGTCGCCAGCAGGTCCATGGCATAGAGCTGCAGGAAAAAGTGGCACATAGTTACACGGGGTGCATACCTGTGCCTTTATATCCCCCTCTATCAATCATTTACTGAAAATAAGAAATATAGCCAGGAGGTATGTGTAAGCAGGCAGGCTCAGGCTTGGAAGGATGTTGAAACAATTTCACAGTTGATTTAATGCTTTTAACTGATTATATATATATATATATATATCTCGTGTGTGTGTGTGTGTGTGTGTGTGTGTGTGTGTGTGTGTGTGTGTGTGTGTGTGTGTGTGTGTGTGTATTTGTGTTTTTTTTTATTGTTGCATGGGAACGTCACTTCTTTGCAAGCCAAAGCAGCTGTGTAGAGACGAATCAGTATTTTTCAATCATTGGGCAAATCACTGATTGCCAGTTGAGCACATAAATATACCTGACCTAGTAAAAGGAAAAAAATACACGTCTCTTTCGTTTCCTGTGGGTATGTGCAGTCTCGCAGTCTGTAAACCTGCATAAAGACTCATTCCAGGAAGTCTTAGTACGTTACTTTCTCTTTGATTTATTTAATTTTCCTGAGAAGTTTCATGTCATTCTCTTGTAAATCAGATCACAGACAGATGTGTGGTGCTGGTAATAAAGGTTTGGCTGCTCTACTCGTACACCAACAATCCGGACCATTGCCAGCAACTGCTCCAGTTGAAGATAAGAAACTTCAACATGATTATAGTCTTTTCTCCATTCTTTTTATACAGTCCGGTCTCCCCAGCCACCCCCACTGCCATTTAAAGCTCTGCGTGTCTCTTCTTTATACCAGTATTTTTCAGTCTGGACTGAAACCATTAACTCACATTACGTTTTGTCTCTGAGGTTGTCAGCACTGGTCCAACGTCTAAAGTCCTCACAGAAAATAGTTTTGAAGTACTCCAGTTCCTCACAGCATCATAAGTCAACAGAGAACATCTAAGATATCTCATGTCTGTGGGGGTCTGCAGACAATCACCTCACAAATGATTACTTTTGAACTTGAGAAGTAACTACTGAAGGCACTTTATTGAGCAACACTTAATTTCCTGTTCCTTGCCCTCCATTGCCACTGTGATGGAAATTTTGCTGTGATTGCAAAGCAGATATTTGCATGGGGCCATTTTTTTGTAGACGGGATGAGACATGTTACGGTGAATTCCATTCAAGGAGAAGAAGTTGATTGTGAAATGGTCTCTCTTCTGAAGTCCCCGATAACATCAGATCATGTCTTGAACTTGCATCAGTTTCTGTTCTACCTCCAGCAAGGTTGCTGAAAGCAGTGGCATTTTGCTACATCAAGTCAACACAGACTCCGGGTCTCTAAAACATTTTTTTTATAAGCTGGTTTTACTTCTTTCAGTTTTAAAAAGAAACCATAAACATACCACCTGCTGCTGAATACCAGCACCGACAGTAGTGCTACTGGAATTTGGTCTCTTCAGCAAAGGTAGCCCTGCAGTGCAACTTATAAGTTACTATATGTTTCTTGCTTTTAACTGCAAGTGATAAGTCAGTAACACTTTCTCCTTTTGAAATGGCAAACTACTTCTCAGAAATGATACATGCAAATGATATTAAAATGTTGTGGTTTTTGTACTACTGAAAGACTTTTCCTACTTCTTAAATTAACAGAACAGCAAAACCAAAAAGAAAATAGAGATCAGAAATGGTTGGGATTGACTTGTTATTCATCAAAAAGTTAATGCACAGCATATTTGCCACAACTTTTCTGGTTGCAGCTTTCTTGTATGACGATCTTTTAATTTTCACAGTTAAATGCCAAGATAATGAAACAATGAATGATAGACTGAATCAGAAAAGCACTAAAAAGATGTTATCTTCTAGTCTCACAGTTCACCCCTAAAGTTCATGTCGTCTCTCATTAACATAGGTTTCACGAACTTCTTTGTCAATCTTAGACAGGAAGTGAAAAAACCTATGAGACGTGGACATGTGATAAATGGTCTATACTGTCGAACACAGAAAATGCCTCGTCATTTTCTTCTTTTATACAGGAAGTTCAAAAGAAGAAGAGAAGTAGTGGTCAAGCAAATACCAAAACTTGGCTCAGACATGATTACTCTGCAGACTGTTGAGGCAAACCTCTATCTGTGCTCTGGCGAACAAGACCATGTCATTCTTCTTTTAGCTGCTCCCCAGCCAGTAGCCATGTTCAAATATTTCTGCATCACAGATTTTTTTATTTTTTTTAAATTAACCTTATATCAGATGAGTGTTTTATTTTTTCCTTTCTCTGGCATGTTGTCCACATAGCTTGCTTTGTCTCTTCACGTTAAGCGTTATCGAATCTCTTCAGCAGGTTTTGTAGTTGTTGGATCATTTCCGTAGCTTGCACATCCATATTACGTACAGTTAGATATTTTCTGTAAAATAAATATTCAAGTTCTAGGTTTATGTTGTAAGTACTGGTCTGGAAAATTATTGTTTTTATTTGTGAAACCGTTAGGCTGCTGATAAACAAGCTCATTAACACTGTTGTGTGATGTGTTAATGACGACGAGGTACATTGTTCGGTTTTTTGACTCTGCTTTCCAAATTATTAAACAATGATCTTGTTTCTAAAAATAAGAAAGTAAGCAAGAGAGAGAAAGAGAGAGAGAGAGACTGGGAACCTTATTTGATAAATGACATTTGTTACATAGCTTCCCTCCATTCCCTTGTAGGGGCCTGCTGCAGCACTCTGTGTTTTAAGTGATAATCAAGTGTGAGGTGGTGGCATTTGCCTTCTTGTGTTCTGTCCATCAGCACTACAATAGAAAAAAATGTGTGTCAATTTTGAACTTCACTAGTATGTTGAACTTTCACCCCCATAATACTCTTTTAGAGTTTTTGTAGCTAGTTAAAGGTCTGCGATTTACATCAGCAGACAGCTCTTGTATACATTTCAAAGATTTAGAGATCGAGGGCCTTGGGTTGTAGTTTTGGTGCTTGTTTAACGTCAACATCAGTGAAGACTGTATATGCTTTATTGCTTAATACTTCCTATAATTCCTAAATGGCATCTCCACATACTCTCCCTATTACGTCTCCTCTTGATTTTGACAGAATAAGAACAGACCTGAGGGCCATTTGACTCCCTGGTCAAACACATCCATGGCCTCAAAAGGAGAGTAGGATTTTGGGACCTTGGTATTTTAAGTCAAAGGATTGAAATCATACTTCAACATGGAGATCAGGATGCACAGTTGCTTACTGCTGCTAAAAGCTCTGTAGGAAAGATACTGTAGCTAAGAATATAAATAGGGAAAATGGCTAACATGCCTCTGCCATACTGTAACAAAAACTACCCTGTAGCACCAGTACTAGCAAGCGATGGTGCTACGGGGTTGATGTGTAGCTTCTTATTTACTATACAAGTGTAATAGAGGTATTTAACCTTCAATCTAAGTCAACAAAAGTGAACAAAACCTCCTAGGTGGTTGCAGCATGAATACAAATGCACACAAGCATACGTGCATGTGAGATTAAAGCAATGTGAGGGCTGAATGTGAGGAATGATGCTGTGAGCTAAGAGTAGAAGCTCTTTTCCAAGAAGATTTGAAAACTTGAGTGAAAGTGCTCTTTGTTTGGTAAGATAACCACGCTCCAGCTGGCTCTCGCTCCTCATACACTGGTATGCTGAACTGCCCCACAGTTAAAACAGTGTTACTCATTGCAGGCCTAATTAATCACTCCACAAAACTTTATTTATGTTTAGATCAATTTTTATCTTTAAAATTTTTTATTGCGATTTATTCATACAGCACAAAGTTGCCGTTTACAGTCAATTATTAGTAAGAAAGTTGGTTAGGTACATAGTGATTATACTCCTTGTTGGGACTATGTAAGACAGAGGAAGCCAGATGTGTCAAAACAACTTCCTGCCACATTCAAGCTGTTTGATGGCAACTGAGACCCATATAAGGTAAAAGAAGACAAGATGGCACAAGCTAATCTCAAGTCTTCCTGCATGTTTGTGTACGTGTTTTTGGAATGACTACCCAGGCCTAACATAGAAACTCATGCTGCTGGGTTATTTTTACCAAAGAGAAAACAAAACATTAGCTAGTCTTTGCTTTTGCTTTGATCACTTTACCCTTTTTACATTTATTTCATGATTTCATTTGCACAACTTCCTTATCAGCCTTTACAGCCTTCTACTGATGTAAATATCCCCTGCAAAAAAACTTACAAATATTACAAAATCAAATTTGAGTTTCTGTAGTGTTCAGTCATTTGAGAAGATCAGATGCATGCTAGTTTCTCAGTTGTATTGCAGCAACAGGAAGTGGTCTATCATGCGTTTTGCTAGATAACCAGAAAAGTGTGAGCTGTCTGCTAGCGAGCAGCAGCAGCATAATGACTGAGTTCAAGATGAATGGGGGATAACAGGGAGACGTCCAACTGTTGGGATGTGATTACATCTACAGGAAGCGGCATGGCCCCACTGTTAATGAACCAATCGTTTCAAAGTATGTCATCCGGATGTCATAAGTACAGACAACACCCTTGCTGTTCTCCCTTTGAGGGTGCATTAAAGGCAGCCCTGTTCAAAAACAATATGCTAATTAATACGGCAACAGTTTACACTGTTAATCAAGTAGAACCTCTCTAATCATTAAACTAACACGTGATGTACAATCCAGGAAGTGTGATTTAATAATCCATACATTGTGAAGCCACATTTGTCAATAAAGTTTTGCAAAACTTTATCATTTATGATTGTAGCCAGAAATACTTGCTATTTGCTTAGCTGTGGCCTTGCTGCACTTCAATGAGCAGGAGTTCTGTGACGACGTGAATTGTGTGTTTAATGCAGACCAAACATTAGCCTGACTTTGACAGTAATATAAATGAGAAAATAAATAATAATTTTTTACATATAACACATGGTGCCAATATAAGTTATGTCTAGCTAAATTGGATTTTATGGGGCAATGGGACCAGTTGCTGTGATCTGTAAGACTTAATTTGCTCTACTGTTCAAAACAAACTTCTGACTACCAAGAAAGCACCTGGATCGCTCACTCCTATACATAGTACAGGGATCTAGTTTTTCAGGCATGTCAAGCACATTGCAATGCTATTTATCACTGGTTTGTTGCTTAACTTCTGCTCTTGACTCGTGTCAGCAGTTCAAGAGCGATTCATGCTCTAATGTGTCTTAACTCTTTGTTTGTTATTTTGTTTTCAAAGCTGTAATAAACCTGCAAAAAAAAAAAACAGCAATCAGCATTTGTCTCTGATGCTAAAGAGCTTTGAAGTTTATAGCAGTCTCTGAACCACCATAACCTCACCCCAAGGTCCAGCTCCAGCCAGATTGCCTTATATAATAGGGTTTTAGCAAAGTCTGCAGTGGACTTTCCCCTACCTCAACAGCGACTTCCCTTCTTCTGCACACTAAGTTTTCTTGAAAAACTTGTTTTGAATGTTTTTCTGTTTATTATCTGCTTCATCTACCTGTTAGTTCTGCTTAAAGATGTGATCATGTTCATTGCTTCAGGAAACCTACTGCAGTACTACTGTCACTTCCTCCAGCAAGTTTTTCATCTTTCTTAACCGTCTTCATGTCTGAGAAGTGTCTCTTTTGCTTATAAAACTGAACGAAACTGCAGTTACATGACAAAAACTTTAAACACCCGTAGTGTGCAGAAAACTGTGCTGACTTGTGTTGTATGGCAGCCAGAGAATTAAAGAGTAAATTTATGAATGTGCATGATTGTAGGGTTGAGTCAAACAAAATGGTTCATTACATGAACTGATTACAGATTGCAAAGTTGAGTCATTTTTAAGATAAAGACTAGCAGCAGCACATCAGTTTTATTACTTCAGTGAGAGCTCTTCTACCTTTTGTAATAGTCCATGCCATTATCCCTTAAGATTTCTTAACTGAACGACTGAGTCTGAGTTGTTCTGCTATGTTGAGGGCTGATCCATGCAGAGCAACGCACAGCTCAAGTCACATGACTAAACAGAAGGCACCTGATCCTCTCCCAGGGGTGTAAAGAGACAGATGGAGTGAATAGAAAGAGATCAGATTGACACTATTAAAACACGGGCAAAGGTAAAAAGAGGACAGTGAAAATACCCTTTAGTATGATTTTTGTGACGCCTGTAATTTTATCGGACAGTGTTACCTAATATTTCTAATGCGTATATAGCACACACACACACACACGTTATGCATTATACATATTTGAATCATTTATTTAATTGTTAAATGTGTTTTTTGTGCTCACGCAGGACACCGGAAACACCACGGAAGAAAAATCCGTTCAACGATCCAAGGTAAACATATATGTATTTGTCTTATCCCAAGTTCACAGCTCTGTGTTCACCTGCATGTGATACTTATGCCCAACTTCACTTTCATCAGCATTTGATCTTAGGAGAGAGCATTTAGTGTCTAGCTTTCATCTTGCTAAAGCTAAAAGGCTGTATTGGGAACATTATGTGCATGCCTGGTAGTAAAGCAGTATATTTGTGTGCTCAGTCCTTCAGCTTCAACACCCAGAAGGAAGTGTGTACATCATGTTTGAAGACAGTCTACCCAATGGAGAAACTGGTTGCAAACAACCTTGTCTTCCATTCAGCATGTTTCTGCTGCAGGCACTGCAATGCCAAACTCAGGTGATTATATATAGTATACTGGTTTTTTGTTTTTTTGTTTTTTTTCTCCTGACCACTGTGATCGGCATGTAACTCTTTGATTCCTCCATTTCTGGCAGCCTTGGCACTTTTGCATCTCTTCAAGGTGAATTTTACTGCAAACCCCACTTCAAACAACTGTTCAAGAGCAAAGGAAACTATGACGAGGGTTTTGGACGCGAGCAGCACAAACAGCTCTGGGCCGCTAAGGAGACAAATACTATAACAAAGACGCCATAATCATGTCTGCCTTTGTCCTGTCGCAGACCTGCCTCTTCTTTTCCCTCCTCCTAACACCTCCAATGCATCACGATGAACACATGCCTCATAAGCTGGGGCACTGTTAAATCACCCACGCACTCACTCGCTTTTTAAATGCCATCAAAACAAATACATGCACAGACATCTTGAAAATTACTGGGCAGTCATGATATATACCACTTACCGTAATTTTGAGTATAATTTGATGATAACTCTTAATTTCCTAATTGTATTTTCCAATTTCCTGTTTGAAATTGGTAGTTGATTGTGACCAAAAGCCTTCTCTGGTGTGGAGAGTGGAATAGTGAAGATTTTTTTTTTCTCTCTTTTTATTTTGTTTTAATTAATTGCACCCTTTTACTTTTAGAAATAAGTAAACTGTATGCTCAGGCAAGCATATCTAAGGGGTTAAAGAGCATCACGTTTTGCGTTAGGGCATACACTCAGGTCAGTTTTAACCCATGGGTTTAAAAGAAGACTTATCAGATTTTATTACTCATTGTAAAAACACACATCAAATTAAAAAAAACGATCCTCTGTATTATGACAATGCTGTCAGACAGGTTTGTCAGGTTTCATATATTTGAGGAACAAACAGGGTACAATGTACTGTAAAATAACCGTGCACGTTAGCAACAACTCACCTCTTGTGTTTATATTTTAGCTTTCGTTAGTCTTATTATTGCTCACTTCATCACACGGTTCTTCATTATTTTAATGAGTCTTGCATGTTGGCATGACTGGGTCCTGATAGCCTTATCTTATGACTGTATTGATCGTTTGTGGTGTGAGTGTTACTTTCATTTGTTTCTCTTGCATAGCGATGATCTTTTTAACATTTTTAGACCCACTTGAGTTTAGATTTGATTGATGTCATGGCATAAGTTGATCTCTGAGCTTTTTATGGTTACGATTTTAATGAATTTTTCAGATTGTGCTTTGTATACTGTCTGTATACTAGCTGTAGTTTGTGATTAGTAAACATTCCCCTCTGTGCTGTACCCTTGTCTTGCACATATATCTACACACGATCACCAGACAAAAGGTTAATTATGGCAGGGAAGCTGAGCTTTAGTATGTAAACATCCCTCCATCTGTCCTATGAAACATTTTAAGAGGAACTGTAAACACCTGGATAAATTGATTATTGCATGTATGCTATAAATGAGGATGTTGATGGACAGAGCTTAGGTCTCACAGTGTGTTGCTTCATAATTTCATGCTTGTCAGCTTGTTGTTGTCTTGTGATGAAGTTTTAAAAGCTGTATTATAGCGACATAAACATCCAGTCACTCTGTCTTGAACCCCTGAGTCCTTTTTCAGTTAATGCCTTCTGATTCTCCTGTCTTATTTGCTAAATGCAACTGGACCTATTTCTTAATATAAATGTTACAATAGATGGATGGATAGTTTGTCACATATATGGGCACCCTGATGTGTGGCTGCATGCAAAAGCCAGTGCAGAGCACCCCCTGCTGGGGAAAGTGTGACAATAGCGTCTCACATGAGAGGATAAAACGATAACTTGCCCATGATTTGAGTATAGCCTTTATTTTCAAGTTTTTGAGTTGGATCAGCAGCTTCTTTTGATCTTATTTAGTTTTAACATGTAAGAACAATTAATTCAATGTAGATTTCCATGGTTTTATTTCATTCTGTACAAAGGATAACTCCAAAGCCATCAAATCATCACATTTTAGAAAATGTCTGAGTACCGCTGACACTTGAATGGCACAAAGTACTTTCTGTGACTGAGGGTTTACTGTTAATTTGAGCTTGCTGTGCAGAATAGGAAGCAAAACAGATGGATTTTTTTTTTTTTTAAAGAGAAGCCTTAGAAAACAAAGAGCTGACCTTATTGCTTTTTCAAAACACCTTTGAGTGCACAGATCTTTACAACAATCTTGTGATCATGCCTTTTTAAAAACAGATCTGGTTATTGTAGAGTCCAACTCTTTAACATAGGATTACTTCACTCAACCAGCAGCCATTTTTCCCCACCTAACCATCTTTATTCACATGTACAAAAGTTCTAATTCTACTGTGTGTGTGAACATGTATGTTTTCTTTATGTCATTTTAAAACGGCCCTCTGGATCCCAGAGAATGCTTTAAAAATCAAGAGAATTGTATCTGAAAATGCTGTGTTTGTCACTCTCTGTTAGCAGTTCGCCAAGGTACAACTGCAAAATCTGTGAATTGCAATGTCCAAGTCTAATAGAGCAGACAAGGTACACTTTACACTGGTGCCACAAGGCTCAGGTGAATGATTGCAGTGTGACGTTTTATTGTTAAATCTGTGAATCATTTCATTTCTGTGCTACACTTGATGTGGAATTCCTTTTTTATTGCCGTTGTCATAAAGACATTTTAAACGTATGCATCTTTGAAAGTGTGTTCTATATTACAGACATGACCTGTGGATTGAGGTGGCCTTACAGCAAAAGGATGCTTGGACTATATGCAGTCTTTCTCCTCTCTTCCTCCTCCTCTCTCTTGCTTAGTTGTAGTATGGTACATTTTAAAATGTGAGCGCCCTCTTTCTACGCCAATATACACAATCATTTGTGCATTATTTTTTTTTTTTTTTTACATGCTTTTGGAAAAAAATAAATAAATAAAATGCTGGTGTTGATTTAACACACTGAGTTTTACATTGTCTTTATTTGTGGTGAAATACTTAGATCTAATAAAGTTTAGCTGTAATGGAAGTAATCCAAAAGGTAATTGGCTACATTTAAGTACAACTTTGAAGTACTTGATACACTATACTTGTATTCTAATACACTGCAGTGAAAAATACTGCCCATCTTACTCTGCAATATTTATATTTATATTACAGCTTTTTTGTCATATTTTGTAATATATTTTGTTTTTGAATGCGGTTTAGTTAGTTGCTGTTCTTACTGGAGTAACTTTGACCACAAAATATTATCTGGAATTAACAAAGTATTATGAATATAGAACTGTCACGGCTGCAAAGCCAGTGCGTTAAAGGAACGGACCCAAAATCAGAGACAGGAGAAAACAAACTAAGTTTAACAAAAAGCGAGCAGTTTATTTGGCTGAAAAACATGAATACAAAATCCAAAGCAAAACTAACAGTAGCGAAAACAAAACTGGAAAGACCAGGGGTGTCGAACTCCAGGCCTCGAGGGCCGGTGTCCTGCAGGTTTTAGATCTCACCCTGGGTCATCACACCTGAGTTCATTACCAGGGTGAGATCATTTAGCTGTTTAAATCAGCTGTGTTGGATCAAGGACACCGGCCCTCCAGGCCTGGAGTTGGACACCTGTGGACTAGACTAACAGCTATGAGCAGGAGCATGAGAGAAGGTATAGGACCAAAAAAAAAAAGTGAACTTGAAACATGAACATGCTCTGAACAGAATCATGGAAACCACTTGAAACCTGATGTGGAGAAAGGAAAACAGACAACCTGACAAAGACTGAATGAAAACTCACAGACTAAATACACAGAAGAGGTGATCAGGGGAAGTGGAAACACATGGGAAAACAGCTGACTGGAATGAACATAATGACAAAACACATTGAACATGGAAACACCCGACTCTTCAAAATAAAACAGGAAACATTGAGAGACGTAGACAACACAAGCTTGGCAATATGGAACACACAAACATAAAACATATGATAGACTAGGGAGACACGGAACACCAGAAGAGACATAAGAATGGATAAGGGAGATGGCATAACTAAAGGCATAACTAAAGATGGCATAACTAAAGGTAAAACACTGAGGCCAAGATAGAAAAAAATGATAAATAACTCTAAATATGTTTTATATTTTAGATTCCTGAAAGTAGCCACCCTTTGCTTTGTTGACAGCACAGCAAACCCTTGGCCTCTCAATGAGCTTCATGGTGTAGTCACCTGAAATGGTTTTCACTTCACAGGTGGGCCTTGTCAGGGTTTATTTGTGGAATTTCTTGCCTTCTTAATGGGGTTGGGATCATCAGTTGTGTTGTGCAGAAGTCAGGTTAATACACAGCTGACAGCTCTATTTGACAACTGTTAGAATTCATATTATGGCAAGAACCAATCAGCTAAGTAAAGAGAAGCGATAGTCCATCATTACTCTAAGAACTGAAGGTCAATCACTCTGGAAAATTGGTAAAACTTTGAATGTGTCCCCAAGTCCAGTGGCAAAAACCATCAAGCACTACGATGAAACTGATTCACATGAGGACCAGCCCAGGAAAGGAAGACTAAGAGTCATCTCTGCTGCTGAGAATAAATTCATCCGAGTCACCAGCCTCAGAAATCACAAGTTAACAGCACCTCAGATTACAGACCAGATAAATGCCACACAGAGTTCCAGCAGCAGACAGATCTCTCCATCAACTGTTTAGAGGAGACCGTGCAAATCAGGGCTTTATGGTCACTTAGCTGCTAAGAAACCACTACTAAGGAAAATCGACAAACAAAGAGATTTGTTTGGGCCAAGAAAGACAAGGAATGGACATTAGACCAGTGGAAATCTGTGCTTTGGTCTGATGAGTCTAAATTTGAGATCTTTGGTTCCACCCACAGTGTCTTTGTGCAACGGAGAAAAGGTGAACGGATGGTCTCTACATGCATGGTCCCCACTGTGAAGGCAATATGATGGTGTGGGGGGACTTTGCTGGTAACACTGTTGGGGATCTATTCAAAATTGAAGACACACTGAACCAGCATGGCTACCACAGCATCCTGCAGCGACATGCCATCCCATCCGGTTTGCATTTAGTTAGTTATTTTTCAACAGGAAAATGACCCCAAACACACCTCCAGGTCGGTAAGGGCTATTTGACCAAGAAGGAGAGTGATGGATTGTGTGTGTCCAAACCTTTGACTGGTGTGTGTGTGTGTGTGTGTGTGTGTGTGTGTGTGTGTGCGCCCGCGCCCGCGCGCGAGCGTGTTTCTGCTTCTTTTAGATAAATTGCATATATTGTATAATTGTTGCATTACACTGCGCAATAAATGTTTCAAATACATGCAACAATAATCCTATGATATAATAAAGTACAACCCGTTGACCTTTTTACATAAGTATTCCACTCGCTCCAGGTCCAGTACTGCTGAAACAAAAATAAAATGAAAATACTTGACTTCAAATACTTCACGTTAGATTATTCTAACGTGTCATTTAAATTCAATCAGGGAATGCACGTTATTGTTCAATCTTAAAGGAAACATTGGATGACTTCTTAGACGGATGAGGACTGTTAAATTAAAAGCTGTGAATTTCGGATTTCCCAACTCTTTTTCACGGCAGCAAACGCTTCACGACGTCACAGCTGGTCCGCCCCTCCAATAATATTGTGCGCGCTCCAGAAAGAAGACTTCCACCGAGTAACAGCGCGTCCCCGCGGCTGCTCGGCTCTAATTTAGATAGTTTAGGAGTCAGAAATCCCCCCGGGATTAAATCATCGTTATTACTTGCGTTTGGATGCCGGACAGTGAAGCATCTGGGAAACATGGATACAACCTTTTCGAGCCGTTTTCTTGACTTCTTGGAAGCATAAAAGCTGGTTCCGGTGGCGATATTTTTTCTGTCAGGAAGTTTGACGTATTCAGCTGAAGATTATTTCTTGCTTTGTTTTGGTTCGGAAAAGTTGTGGACGACCGCTGGTTCCTTTCAACAAACGACATCTTTGTTACTGTCGCTAAAAACAGACCGAGCTCGTCTAATGTACGTTTTTTTGTTTATTTTTTAAATATCACTTTGCTGTTTATATGAATACTCCAGGATCTACAATTTTAGAGTCTGCAGCCCTGCGAAGTTTAAACATCGATGGACTTTATCTTACTTGGCTTCGCATGACATAACGCATCTGGTTAAAGTATATAATAAACTCAAATGTAGTACTTTTTTCTGCCAATGTCCCAATAGTCTGTTATTTTTAAGTCTGAACCCAGAACGGTGCTATCTCAATTAAATTAATCTGCACATTTTTATAGGCCAGATAGGCCTTCGTGTATTCTTCCCCGATTATGTTATATCATCAATCACGTTGCAATGCGATGCAGTTATGTTCAATGCAACAATGAGAATAAAAAACATCTTCTGCCTAGAATATTGTGGATTTAAACCTGGAACCACGGTCGAGGAAAATCTGCAAACTTAGCAGGAAGAGAGGCCATCAGAATCACGGAAATCGTACGGTCTTTCCTCTGGCGAGCTGCTACCCACAAATGGATTTCATACAGGCCATACGGTTACTGTTACACTTTGGTTTGGCAGCTTTTGTTCGTATTTAACACTGTAATGGGACACGGCTCTGAATACATTTCTAAATTCATCGATTTTTAGTGTGACTTCTAAAGATGTTTTGGAAATTTAAGTTTTCCAAGGATCCGAGGCTACAACGGCGCAAAAGTTTGCCTCTGGGCCACAGCTGGAGCTGTTTGATGTAGGTTTTCCCATCGGAACATTTTCTCTGTGAGGCTTACAGCTGCCTCTTGTGACCGTGCTTGTTTTTACAACCTGGAAAGAATCGGTTTGTGTGTGTGATCTAACTTTCCGTTAAAGAAGACAAGCCCCGGTACCTGGGGGGGTCAGCCCCGCCGATGGCACCTTTACAGTCACTCACACTCTTTGGTGTGTTGGTCTGACCGAGGACACTAATGGACGTTAACAACAGCTGGACCTACTGCGTCATTCCTGCCGCTAGACTACGGTGACCAGTCGGCTGTACGCGGGAGAACCTCGGTCCTGACCTGACCTGACCTGACCTGCCGACTCTACAGGTGAGGGTTGTGAGCTACACCTGAGAGTAGTGACAGGTGTAAATTATGCGCTGTGTTCATGCGACAGGGAAAAAATGTATATATTTGAAATATTTTTTATATCTGTCTGCCAAAAACAGAAATGTAAACTTTTCTAATTATTTACGTGGGTCGGGTTTATTATTATTATTGTTATTGTTATTATTATTATTATTGAATAGGCTATGTCCTGGAAATTATTTGTTTTGCTGAATTAGTTGAATAAAGTCTAAGAAATTGACGGTATAAAAAGCTGGAGGGAATTGAAAATGAATATTGATTGTAGTTGTAGTATTTTCTAAAATGATTTGTGTGTGGTCTCTTGTCTTAATCAGTCAGGGTTGAAAATGCCATTCAGCTTTCCACCTTTTTAATTGAGAAAAAAAATTAAATTCATATTCCATAGTGAATATATAACAGCTGTGCTTACAAAATTTAATAGCTTATCTTCCTCAAGCATGTGTGTCATTCCATTCTGTTCCATTTTCTGTATCTATCCGGTTCGGGTTGCGTGGGCACTCCATCTCATCTGGGGGACTGCTGAGACATTTCCAAGTCAGCCAAGACATTATCTCTCCAGTGTGTGCTTTTTCTACCCTGGAGCCTTCTCCCAGTTTGGCTCAAAAAAACCTTCCTAGCACAGGACTTGGAGGAATTCTAGTTAGATGCCCAAACCGCCTCAACTGGCTTTTATCAATAGTAGAGTAGTGGCTCTGATGTGAGTCCCTCCCAAATCACTGAGCTCCTCATCTTTTCAATAAGGGAGAGCATCAGGCAGTAACTCGTCCCTGGCTTGGAGTCAGCAATCCACCCTTTTCTGGCTGAGGTTCATGGATTCAAACCTGGAGGTGCTGGTTCTCATTCCAGCTACTTAACACTTGCTTGCAAACCAACCCATGTTACGCTGGAGATCACTGCCTGATTAGTACGGAAAAACCACATCATCTGCAAAGAGCGGAGACGTGATCCTGAGGTTGCCAAAGCTGAAGCCCTCTGCCATGTGGCTATGCCTTAAAAATTCTGTCCATAAAAGTTATGAACAGAATCTGCAACAAAGGGCCAGAAGCATCATCCTAAACTTCCAAGTGATGCTGCAGAAGCATGTCAAACGAGACAGCCACAAGTTCAGAGTCTTAAGGAACTCGGGGCAAATTTAATCCACCCCAGGGGCTCGACCACTAAAGAGCTTTTGACTACTTCAAAATCAGTCACAGTAATGGGCCAGTCACCCCTCCTTGTCCCCAGACTTTGCTTCTACTGCAGAAGGTGTATCAGTGGGCTTGAGAAGTGACTATATCCTCTATTGAGGTCAGCAGAACCCCATCCCCATTGTAAACAGCGTGAGCAGGAAGCTGCTTCCCCTTCCTGAGTCACCTGACAGTTTGCCATAATTGCCAAGTGAGACCGAAAGTCTTGCTTCATTGCCTCCCCAGACTCTCAGACCCGTGTTTTTCACTATACGTTTGGGGTACGCCAAGTCTGTCCAGCATCTTCTACCACCACCTGTTTTAACTTATAGCCAGGTGGTGATCAGTTTACAGCTCTGCTCATCTCTTTACCTGAGTGTCCAACACAAACTGCAACAGGCAGATGGTCTGATAACAAAAACAATCACAAAGTCAATCCGCCTGACCAAATCACTGCTGTGGATTGCCCCCTTCCTCCCAAACTTAACCCCCAACCAGCGATTGACTCCAGGGTGGGACCCCAGTAACCCTATCCCAGGGTATCCATGCCCCTTTTTGTTTGTTTGTTTGTTTTTCCTTCATCTTGTGAATCACTCTTAGTTTGGCCCCTCAAACAGGACCAATTTGCTTTGGGAGACCATACCAGGGGCAAATAGCACTCAACAACATAGCTCCTGGGATCATGTGTGCACACAAACCCCTCCATCATGATAAGGTGGCAATTCATGGAAGGGGGGGGGGGGTGGCTGTACTATTTTGCAGCATACCCCCTTCTGCAGGTAAAATTAAATCAAACAACTGAACAAAAATCAACTCAACAGCTAAATTAATAACTTGTACCCAAAGCTCCACTGTGCAGTTATTTTTATTGATCTGAATTCCAGAGCAGCACAGGAAAGAGAGTGTGTCAGTGAAGTCTGAGATGGCAATGAACACCTACACTCAAGTATAGTCGTTTGACAATATTCAAAGGTCTAAATTTAAGTGTGACAGAGTTTATCTTAACTTAAGTCAATACGGGAAGTCTTTGGGCCAGATTAGTTATGGGCATATAAAAGCATAAATCTGTTTTATGGACGATAAGTCAGGACTTCTGTGTCAGAACTTCCAGATACACAGTAACGTTTGTGTATCTGCAGATGTAAGTTTGTTTTCTTAACAACTACTGTTGAAAACTAACCTTGAATGACTTCATGTTACTATTTAAAGGAAAAGAGAGAATTGATAATGAGTGATGCAATTGCTTACTAACTGCAATATTTTGCATGATGAAGTATTGAGAGGAGACATATTAGAGGATGCTTTGAAAGGCTAGGTTTAAATGCAACTATGAACCTAGAACAGAGCTCACTATAGGCTATTCCCCACGCCATCCTGGTTAGAGTTTAATTTTTGTCACATTTGTATTGAGGAGTAAGCAATGGGCCCATTTGCTGGATACATCTGACTTTGATTGCCAACTCCTGCTACTAAGACAACTTTGTTTTAAAGCTAATATACAGTAGTATATTAGCTTTAAAACAAAGTTGTCTTTATTCACAACACTTTTGCAAGCCTATCCATGAATGCAACAGAAGGTGCCAGCTTTCTGTCTTTAAATCTTTTTCGGTGGTTTTCATATTAACATGCACAATGAACATTTTGATGTACATTGTACATAAGCTTTGACTTTCAGTGTATTTCCATGTGTGAAAACACTACAGAGGACGTTCTAAGACTTCACGTAGCCAACACAAGCACAAGCTCTTTGTTGAGATTGCAATATTTAAATGTGGTGGGTTGCACTAAATGAAAAGCACATGTGCACCTGAAACAGGACAGACATCAGGCCATGGGATTTTGCTGCGAAGCCTTCAGTCCTAATGCATCATGGGCTTGAGACAGGGGACTGTGGCTGAGAAAAACAGCCTCAGACTAAACACCTCTTAAAGCAGACAGAGAAGAGAGGGTGGAGGAAAATCCATGTAAATCCTGCTAGTCCTGGAAATGCGATACAAGGAAAATAAAGCAGGCACAGCTGACTGGACTGGTACAGTGCAGCTTTACTCTCCACTGAATTCCCCGAATTCCACTTGGGAGGTAATTAAAATCAGGAGAAGCAAGAGAGAGATGAGGGTAGCTTGGGGACTTGACAGAGAAGCTTGTTGTTGTGCTGTTGACCATAAGGACCACTTGAGTTGAGGTTTTGTTTCTAAATACTGTGTTGACTGTTCTCTTTCTCACACATTTTTTTAGGTAATGCATGAGGTAATTGCTCTATGTTACCTCAAGTGTCTGTACACTAATGCAGCAGTGAGAAATACACGCTGCATAAATTCAGTGTTATTTACTTTGGAATTAGATGCTATAAACAAGTTCAAGGACTGCAGGACAAAACTATTTGGCACCTTCACCGTTGGCAGGGCAACTTGAGAGTAGCATAAGCTTGAAAGCAATGTGGCAACGCTCCGGCGACCACAGACGGACATGCCCTGCATTCCTGTGGGTGATTATTACCCAGAAAGCCACAAAGTCAATGAGTTGCCTCAGGTGCCAATGCTGCTTATTTCATGTACAGTAGAGTTTCTCGAGTTCTTGTTTTCCTTTAAGACAGCCTTTGACTACAGAATACAGACGGACAGCCTCTGCTGTTGGCTCCAGACTCAGACACTGTTCAGCTTCTTGTCTGACCTTCTTTGACTGGGGTTTTTTTAGTCACAGCTATATTCTAAATCAAACCAGTCCTTAGTTTTCAAGACTTACTCAGCAGCTAATGATAGAATTTGTGTAGAGGGATTGATTTGCTGCAGTATATTTCAAGAAAAATAAAGCATGTGTCAAGTGTGGGTTCAAGTTTCTGGTCATAAACATCTTCCTAAGGGTGCTGTGTGGTACACAGTTTCTACATAATATCACCAGATATTACATTGAGGTATCAGAACTGGGTGAGAAACAAGTCGGTGCATTTCTGGGGGAACAGCTGTTTTAAACTGTAGTTGCTGGCAGTGAGTCACTTGTATCTGGTTGACTGAACAATATTTACTCATTATTTGGGGCATTTGTGAAAACGAAGTTTGTGTTGAGACCTCAAAGTCTCAAGAAACTCTAAAGTGCTTTGTATTTGCCTTTGCCGAATTAGTTTAAATTCCATGGTTTATTGGTACAAATATGAGGGAAACCCTCTCCATTGAAGGAAATGCCTCAGTTTATAATGCTGTTGACGCCTTGAGCAGGGCTGATAATATTGCCTTGTTAACATCAACAATGGAGTTATGACACAACCAACTTTGAGTTTTGCAGCTCGTGCAAAGGAGGCTGTTTAAAGCTGGTAGTTACTTGAAACAGCAGAAAACTCCTCACAAAGAACATTTTTCCCATATGAACAAAGCCAGAATAATCACTGCCAGGGCAGCTTGAATTTCAGCCGTTTCCAACTGTCATTCTTTCTCATGGGCAAACTCACAATACACATTCTCACATGCACTGCACACTTTCTCATTCGCCTAGCCTTGCAGTCAGAAAAACTCTTTAGGTCTGTGGTCTGCAGGGTTCAGTTACGTGCCTGCAAGGAATGAGAAGAGATTTGTGTTGTAAATGAAAAAGAGATTCTCTGAAACACATTAAACACTAATGTGTAATTTCATTACTGTAATTTCATATAAGACGGGTACAATATAACAAGTTCTTTGTCATGCCAGCGTTCTGGTCTTATTCTGCGATTCCTTTTTTTTTCTATTGTCTCCAATAACATTTACCAGTAAGGTAGTGCAAGTTTTTAATGATGCCCTTTGTCTTATCTGTTCTTACCTCAATTATTGCATGCTTTATTCTCATAACTAATTGATTTCTGTGTTTACCACTAAAGGCTCTGGGAGTTGGTTGGCACAGCAGAGGCAACCCTGCAAGTTTCCGAAGACTGGTTTGTAGACCTCGATCACAAACAACGCCACAATGAGTAAGTCTTAGAGTATAGTTTTCTAAACAACATTAAAAACAGACACAAACACACCAATCACCATCCCCGAGGGCATAGCTGGTGCGACTTGCTTCTCCAGACAGTCAGGTGAAGAGGACTGGTTTTCAGCATTCTGGAGATAGGGGTCTGGTTCAGCCCCAGGGCTGTATGATGTCTGTCCAAGCTATACAAGGGGAATATTTTTCTTTCGTGAGCTTTTCCAGACAAGACAGAACTTGCCCTGAGATCAAATGTGGGAATAAGGCTATCAAAAACAAAGTACTTCTTTCAAGCCTCCAATACTCAGTCACAGGATAGTTTCAATAAAGCTGCAATTAAAGATGACTGATTGTCTTTTCACACCTTTTAGTGCAGAGCTCATATGTCTTTCACTTTGTGCCGTGCTCACACCACTCATTTGTTAACCCACTGTCTAATTGTCTGCTTTTTGCCAACCTATTTTCCCCTGTAGATGAGAGGCAGGCTCTCCACTCTATAATGAAGGACCTCGTTGCTCTCCAGATGACGCGGCGGCAGCCTGTGTTGTCTCATGACAGCGGTAAACCCAAAACACCAGCACAGGCCAACAGACAGGTACAGCATCAGTCCATCGCAATTTGGCTATAAAGTAAGAATTAATTATCTAAAATTTCAGAAAATTAATGAAACTGAAGAACTTAAAATCTTACAAATCAAAAACAAAACATGCTGATCCAATATGAATACACAACATCAAGATTTTGTGAGTCTAAAAACACATAAGGTGAGTTTTGCAATGCAGTTCTGAAGACATAAAGTTGTCATTTATTAGGCAAGACCCTTTAGAAACAGGTCTAAACAAAGGTTAAACCCTATAAATTTGTTTGTCTTCATAAGCTGCTTCCTCAGTTGTTGTGTCTTAAATGAATCCGTTGTAATGTTGTGTTTTGAAGGACTATATTTTCTCTAAGTCGTGTAGTGAGAAATGAGTTTAATAAACATAATCATAACATAATAAACATAAATTGTTCTATAATTCAATTTAAAACCCCGAGTCTAGAGATCAGGGGGGACAAATGTGTCAAGCAAAGAATTTTTATTAGAGAAAACTTCTTTAATAGAGCTCAGTGTAAGTGTCCAGGACTATTTGGCAAAATTTTTTGATGCTTTTAGTATTTCTCCTGACGCACATGGTACATAGTTTTAGCAAAATTACATGAATTTCCAAAGTCACCACCAATTTGTCAAATAATTTTTTAGCTTTTCTAAAAAAGAAAAAAGAAAAAGTGGCACTTGGCCCACCTAAAATTTAATCTTGGTGTTTGCCCAAAGCAACGTTCTGGGAAATAAAACTCGTTCCCATTCCTGCAAAAGTTGCATCTAAAGATTGATATACATACTTCACTTTTATCTGTACAGTGTGTGTGTATATATAAAGCTTATGTGAGCACCTGACAAGTTTACAAAAGAAATTGGACACTAGGGAGCAAGGACCCTAGTTTTGTCCAAAGGTAGAATGGAAAAGTTCACAAGTAGTAGAAACAAATTCTTCCTCATTTCACAGTTTTACGTGGGCTGTTTGAAGAATCTTTGCCCGGGATATAATAATGCAAATTGTGGGGGATAGTAATAGTAGTGATATGACAATATTTAAAAGAGAAAAATACATCCAAGTTAAATTTGACCCGGGTTGTTGCTGTTCATGGGTTAATGGTCAGCATCCTGAATCCTAAGCTGTAGTTTTGTCCTCAATTTCCAGTATTACACTTTGTTTTTTTTGTTTTTTGTCCAAATGAAAGCAATGGGAAATAACTTAGTTGGTAAGATTTAGAGCTGGTGGTAGGTGCAGTTTGTTACCTTTGGACAGGACCGTGTTAGCTGATCTCTCCGTTTCCAGTCGGATCCTGGCTGTAGCTTCATGTTTTCTGATGGTCAGTCAGGAAGCAATCTCCTCATGTAACTCTACAAGAAGGTGAATAAGTTTGTTTCCTGTAGAATTATAACAAGAAATTCTCTCTCTGCTTGGCTATCCATGTAATCTCGGTAACTTTATTTGCAGTTGTTACGAGTGCAAGTTCTCTAAGAAATGAAAGAGGTACACATTGGCTCGGCTTTGTGTGAGACCCACAGGTGAAGTCTAATTGGTATGATCACCACTACTCCTCAGTGCAGCCTGAACTCTCTTAGGCAAGCCTTCTTGTAATTTACTTAATTAATCTTCAGCAATAATTTTACAGACGTCTTGAGGGACATTCTTAGGATGTTGGCTGCCTTTTGTTGCCTTCTGTCTGATTCCACGCCACTTCAGTAATAATACGATCTATCATTTGAGGAGGCCAATCCATGACTGCTGGAGTTTCATTGTGTTTTTTCTATACCTATATGCTTTGGAAGTGTGTTTGGGGATATTATCACACACTTTCTAGATGGTATTGCATGGTGGATCAAAATCTGACAGTATGTTTTTTCATGCATAATTCCATCAGTTTTGACAAGATTTCCAACACCACTGGCTGCAGCCCCAAACCAGACAGAGCCTTAATTGTGGTTTACAGATGGCTGTAGACACTCATTCTTGGCCCTTTTTTCTGACGTCATTTGACGCACGTACTGACGATTTGAACCAAAAATTTGGAATTTGTATTGATCACTCTGTAAGACCTGTTGCCACTGATTTTCACTCCAGTTCTCGTGGAGTCTGGCACACCTCAGGCTTTTCTCCCTGTTTCCCTTCCTTAAGAATGGCTTCTTGACAGCTATTCACTAAGACCATTTCTGATCAGGGTTCAGTGAACAGTAGATGGATCAATTGGAGGACAAAATGCAAAGGCCTGTGTCAGGTCTAAATTTGATTTCTTTTTCTTATTTCTTAAAGACATGACTCATCCGAATCTTTGCCACCTAATTTTTGTTCTGCTTGTCTAGTTTCCTTAAAATTTTAAGGACACACTGCATAAGATATGCCAAGTGTGCAGCATATAGCTCTTCGCGAATCATCTTACTGGTGTAAGAATACTGTTTAGGGCTTAAACTTTGTTCTCATTGGCATTTTACATAGATTCAGTAAAGAAACAAGAAATAATTATGTGCTTTTCCACCGGGCCGCTAGTAACAAAGAATCAGAAGACGCAATTTAAAATAGGTTCTTTCCTAAGTTGTTAGTTATGTGTAGATACAACTTTGAGTAAAACAACATTTCTCTGAAAAGGTTCAGGTACAACGACAACTGGTCTAAATAATGAGTGAAAAAGCAGTCAATCTCCAAAAGAAAATCTTTTAAAGACTTGCATTAAGATTAGCAAACCACTGCTCACTTTTTAAAAAATTGCAAGAAAATCTGGCTCCTGGAAAGCAAAATATAAAGAAATGAGAAGTTACTTGAGACTTTTGTACATTACTGTATTAGCACTCTTTGAGCTTGCTATTTCTGCTTTCTTTCAGGACGACGTCAGGATAAAGTTTGAGTTCTCAGGAGAGAGGAGGTGAGTTTGGCGTGGTTTGCATTAACATGCATGTTGTGAATGTGTGGCTATCGTGCTTTCCAGTAGTATACATTCATATGCAAGTGAGAGGGACTAATAACTTATGGAGGAGACATAAACACATTCACTTAGGCATGCAGCTGTTGTCACATGTTCCAGTTCATGAAAGAGCACTTCTCACAGTCTGACACACACTTCATTCAGACTGGTATGTGAGCTGGAGAAGAGAAGGGGAAAGGACTGTGGTTAGCCAGCGACTGCCAACATAAACCACAAATATGCAAGGTGTACATAGAAAAATCTGCACACACTCAAAACATCAGCTTGTGTATTTTGTTTGCATGTGTGCACGTAATTTAATGCAGTTTCTTTACCAACTGGTGTAAATCTTTCATAATTCCTTTGTCTGGATGATTCATTTGCTGCTTTTCTTTTTGCAGGATCCTGGTCTTTGGACGACCTGTACAGTTTGAGGAAATTCAGCAGAAAGTCAAGACGGTCTTTGGCCAGCAGCTAGACCTGCATTATATGAACAATGAGGTAAAGTGTTATACTGTGCCCCCCCCCCGCCCCTTCACCCAACCACCCACCCACAGCTGCTCCTTCCTCAAGAATTTGACGGATCGTTGAGTCGAGACATGTTCAGAGTCAAGTAAAAGATGCAGGAAGAAACCGTGACATCATTCAAATTGTACTTTAAATCTTAAGATGTTATGTTCTTAAATAGTAGTTGTAAATCCTCTTTTGAGGAAGGGCAAGTAATTTGGTAAATGGAAACATGAGTAATGGATCATCCGTTATCAACTTTCCAATTCTCATTCGCTCAATTGTGCCTTCCTGCATGTCTGTTTTCTGTGTTGATTTAATGTTCGTGCATTTTACGTTTGAACAGCAGCCTGTGTATGCTTGTAAATGTTGGCAAGAATTTGTTTCCATGTCATTTTGAATGTGTGTGTTCTTTTTGTTGTCTGGTTTCTTGGCAGTTGTCCATTCCTCTGCGAGGACAGGATGACCTTGACAAGGCAATCGACTTACTAGACCGGAGCTCCAACATGAAGAGCATCAGGATACTGCTTCTCACTCAGGAGCACAGCAATGTAAGACTCAAGACACACACACACACACACACACACACACACACACACACAGGGGCGTGCATTTACAGCATACAGTTGCATCACTACCATTTCTCCACCACAGCGCCATGTTCTGAAATACCCAAGTTCCTGATTTACCGACACTAACTGGTTTGATGACATGAGGAAATTGTTAAATGTGTTAAAGCATTGTTCACATCTTCTGTTCTCCTATCTTTTCCCAAACTACAGGCGTCCTCTCCTTCCCACCACGTGCCATGTAAGCAGGTGAGGATCAAATCCTCCCACTCCACTGGAGATGTGAGCACAGTGTACCAAAGCTCCGAGCCCAGGGGGCGTCACCTATCAACTGGTAAATACTGTGATTTCTGGTCTATTTAAAGTTCTTCACAATTTTACTCATTTGAGAAAAAAAGAGATCTGATTGACTTGAACTGGATTATATCTCCTGAGAGTTACTGAATTATCAGTTATGGATATTTTTGTTGTGCCTTGATTTCCTTGCCTGTCTTATTTTACTCTCTTGTACTGGTGTTTCTTTTGCTTCCCCTTGTTGCAATGGGTCCTCTTCCTTTTCCTGTTCACCATCACTAGACGATGCCTGCTGGACAGCAGCCAATCAGATTACAGAATGCTATTAGTGTGGCGGACCAGTGGTCTGTTTTAGGATATTTTTTTTTTCCCCCTCTAGAAGAGGAGGGGTCAAAGTAGCTCCTAGAAGGCTTGAGAGCTTTGCATCATAACAAGTTTAAATGCTGAAACTAGTTCTCATTGTTGCCTTATCTTTGTTGGTCAGCAAGAAGAAAACCCCCAAAATTACAACATGGATGTGTCATCGAGTTTTTTGACTGTAGTCTCAACAGCAACATGTCCGACTTTCATGTGTACAGGAAAATAAAAATTAGTTTCAGTTGAGAGGAACAGAGCCTAACAATTTTTAAAATCAGGCAAACATGTAACTTGCTAATACACATCATTTCTGACTGATTCCAGGTTCTCAGAACACAGGGCGTAGTTCCCCACCTCCTGGCTACGTCCCTGAACGCCAGCAGAGGATTGCCCGCCAAGGTTCATACACCAGCATAAACAGTGAGGGAGAGTTCATCCCAGAAACCAGCGATCAATGCGTGAGCCATCTCTTTATTCATAATGGGGGAAAAGAAAACTTATAATAGAAATCATATGGATCTTGTGTCTTTGTGATTACGACTTTTAAGATTTGTTTACTTATGAGATTCAATTAAGATCTTTTCCGACTTTGGTTTTTAATGGGCTGTGAGGCTGACATGATGAGATTTTGTAAACATGTTCCTAAGAAGTTCAAATTAAGTTTGGGAATAAAAAGCTGAACTAAGTGCTCGGTGAATTCCCCAGATTTGCTCATCTCCATTTTCCAGTGCAGCTGTTCTACAGAAAATGAAAGTTTTCAAAAACATAGTCCTGTGTGTACGCAAACCACACGCGCATAAAAACGGACACTCTGAATTTTCCATTGTGCCCTGTGCAGGTGCTGGATCCCTGGAGCAGTGCAGAGAACTCAATTTCTGGAAGCTGCCAGTCTCTGGACAGCAACTCAGACAGGTGACAAACAGGCTCTGCCTGCTAAATGTAAAACTAACACTGATGCCTCCTACCAGGAGCTTCTCCATTACATTTCAACTACTGGTATTTGGAAAATAAAATAAATGCAATGTTTTGCTGATGAAATGCTTAGCTCATTATGGGAAGGCTTCTGAACATACCTCAGTCTTCATCCTTCCCGCTCCTCTTTCACAGCCCCTCACTGAGGAAGTCTCGCATGCACAGAGCCAAGAGTTACCCTGATAATCGTCAAGAGTGCTCAGGTAACAGCCAAGCCAAGTATCTCCATTACCTATATAGAAAGATGATTACAGCACTCATGTAATAAGACATACAATGTGTGCATTCAGTCAATACCTTAGTATGTCTTTAAAGCCCTGAAGACAAGTTGGGTAAAGATTATATTATACACAATATAATCATTTAATAATAATTTATCTGTTATCTACTTTTGTTAATCAGTGTTTTCTTGTCAGTGATAATGTAAACTGACTGCAAGCTTACATGAACAGCATTTTTTGTAAGTACAAGCTACAAAATAGAGTATCAAAGAAGCTAAATTTAATGGTACGTGACACCGTGCAGCTAACTAAACTGTTGTTCAACTGCAGCTTCCTGCTGAGCTATGACACTCTGGGTGTTTGTTTTCAGATCGGGAGAATCATGTGTATGACAGGGTTGCAGGGAAGGGAGGCACCTTTCCTCGAAGGTACCTTGTGTCCCTCCCTTATAAGGACAACAGTGAAGGTGAGATTAATGATATCTACTATATATGTAGCATTTTTCAAGTAGGTAAAAATTTTTTCCTACTGCCTCCATCTGTAGTATAGCCTTCCTTAGTCTCACCATTCACAATGTTATATTAGAATCAGCCGCACTCTTTCCTGTTCTCCTCAAGGTCGCCGAACGTTTCCACGGATTCGTCGCCCTCAGGGGAACCTTTTCACTCTAGTGCCCTCAAGACGGTCACTCAACGGCAGTGAGGAGAGTCTGGGCAGCTGGCAGCAGGTCGACGCACAAGGCAGGCTACGCCCCCAGGATCGTTCTGTTCCCCATAAGTGTGAGTAAAACACAACTTTTTAATAAAAAACTTCATACGCAGTGCTTGTGACAGAGGTGAATAAATGAGTCAACAGCGCTAATTATTTTTTTCAGCTGAAGCTTATCTCGATCATGATAGTTCCTGTTATACTGCATCATAAAGAAAAAACCATTTGATTTCATCCTCTTCATAAAATCACCCACGGGAGCAAAATTATAGTGTCGGTAAATGAAACTTGTAACTAAATTTGACAGGAAGTTCGGTGAAATGACAATTTTAACTCCGGGTACTTGGAGCCAAGTCTGCCTTAAAGACTGGATTTGAAATTGTAACTGGAAATGACCATTTAAGGAAGTTGTGTAACAGTCCTGAGATCAATTCCACCATTAGGCTGGCGTCTTTCTGTCTGTTTAGTTTGCATGTTCTTCCCGTGTTTGTGTGGGTTCTCTCTGAGTACTCCGGCTTCCTCCCACAGTCCAAAGACATGCAGTTAGTGGGGATAGGTTAATTGGAAAATCTAAATTGCCCATAGGTGTGAATGTGAGTATGAGGTGTGTATATGTGTTAACCCTGCGACAGATTGGCGACCTGTTCAGGGTGTACGCTGCCTCTCGCCCTAAGACAGCTGGGAAAGGCTCCAGCCCCGTGCGACCCTGAAAAGGATAAGTGGAAGAGAATGAATGGATACATAAAACAACAACCAACAAATGTTTTGTTTTTTGTTTTTTGTCTGTTTGTTTTCAGCGCCCAGTGCTCCGGTGACGTGGCGCCGAGGGAAGCTTCTGGGCCAGGGCGCGTTTGGTCAGGTTTACCTGTGTTATGATGTAGATACTGGGAGAGAGCTGGCTGCCAAGCAAGTCCAGTTTGATCCTGACAGTCCTGAGACCAGTAAGGTGAGGAGCTAGGAGATATTCATTGACACGGATGGTTATGCATACCTTCATAAGCAGAATTTTTTTTTTTTTCACGTGTGTGGGTGTTCTCACTATTTCTCTCCCTGGTACTCTTATTTCCACGGTGACTTTCTTGTCATGCTCACATGTTGTATATTTGCAAACTTTTGCTTTTGCTTGTACATTAAAATTGTTTGTCACACACATCACATCCTCTTTTTACTGTATATCTCATGAATGATGAAATCGTTTTTTTCTTCTTGTTTTTTTTAATGTCAAACTCAAGGTTGCACATTACTGACAAGTCATGAGTCAGGACCAATGTCCAGCTGAAAATGTGCCAAGTGTGACTTCATACGATAATCTGTTCGGGTCATTATGCTGGAATGTAGATTGTTAGCAGGAATAGCTGAGCATGGGATTAATAAATCAACCAACATCCACAGTTTAGCTACGGCTCTGGATTCAAGCTTCCAATTTTATTTTATCCCCCGAGACAAAAATAAAAGCCTGCTGGAAGGAAAATCAACAAACTAAAAGTGGAATGCATCGTAGAAGTTGTCCTTCCACCATCAACCCCCCTCTTCCCCATTTTAATTTCTTTTCCTGTCTGCCACAGAGAAAACACGCACTGTCACTTCCTGTATCTGAGAGCAGCCAGATATTGCAGTGGTGACGGAGGGGCGATGGGTCAGCATTGCATTGACCTCTTGTTACCCCTTCACACCCCCACTCCCACCTCCTGCTTGTAGCAAATGTGATTCAGTATTTGCTTCTGTTAAAGCAGCTTCAGTGCTGGGACCTGGGGATTAGTTTGTGTCCCTCTGAGTTCCTACTCTTCCTTTCTCTCTGTCTCTCTCTCTCTGCTGTGGCCTAATTCTCTGAAGTAAACACAGGAACTACTTTTAGGGAACTGTGCTGTTGGCTTTTATTGACTCCCTGCATTAGTTTCCACTTTTGGCTTGACTTCACATGCAGTAAAGAAAAAGTAGCATTTGTTTATGATGACTGTGTAATGCTAACTGATATAACAGGGTCTGGGGCGGGAATTAGCTGTAGCTGAAATCCACATTGTGCAATTTGCAAATCCATAAAAATGCAAAGATGTTGAAAAATTATAGATTTTCTGTTATTTGTTGCCCTTTCTTCAGTTTTTAATTTTCCCTGTGTTCACTGTTCTGTGCAGGAGGTCAGCGCTTTAGAGTGCGAAATCCAGCTGCTGAAAAACCTACATCACGAGCGCATTGTTCAGTACTACGGTTGTTTGAGGGATCACAATGAGAAAACTCTCACTATTTTCATGGAGTACATGCCAGGGGTGAGTCTCAGCAGCTCTCATTTTACAGATTCAGGCAGAGCAGTGATTGTTTTCATGATAATCATTTGCTCAATCGCAGGCTGTGTGTTCATTTCCATTGCATGTAGGACTGAAACCAGTCGCACGAGGGCAACAAAGACACAAATGTCCACGAGTTAATGTTTTGCATTGCTGTGTTGACAATATAAACATATTTTTTTATTCAGTAAAGCGATTTGACCACTGTAGCTCACAGTAACTGGGCAGTTTTTTGTTTTTTAACTATTCTAGAAACTAGTGACAGAAAGTGACAATGTGTGATTTTACTTAAGCGGGGAAAGTAAAATAATGTTTTTCTTTACTCATATGCAGTTGTTTGTTATTGAATAACTGGCTGAGAAACACATGTTTGTTTCCTTTTCATTCTTCTGTCATCTTCAGCTTTTTAACTTGATTTCTTAGCTCATTGTCTTTACTCTTTATTGCATTCACTATCTCTGACTTGTTAAGCTGTTATTTTAAGGCGTTACCATGTAAAACCTGTGATTTCTTCCTGTCAGGGTTCTGTCAAAGATCAGCTGAAGGCCTATGGGGCCCTGACAGAAAATGTCACCCGCAAGTACACAAGGCAGATACTGGAAGGCATGTCCTATCTGCACAGCAACATGATTGTACACAGGGACATCAAAGGTATTCCTGTTAAACTGCAGATACTGAAACATCATGCTCTGCAGAAAGAAAACGTTTAGTATTTTATAATGAGATGCTTGGTTCTTACTGCGTGTGGATGATGATTATTGACATGTAATATTTTGCATGTTTCATATCAACTGTGGCTTTCAGGTGCCAACATCCTGCGGGATTCAGCGGGAAACGTGAAGCTTGGAGATTTTGGTGCCAGCAAAAGGCTCCAGACCATCTGCATGTCTGGCACCGGCATACGCTCTGTAACCGGCACCCCCTACTGGATGAGTCCGGAGGTGATCAGTGGAGAGGGCTACGGAAGGAAAGCTGATGTCTGGTAAGACCAAAAGATCCACTTCAGTTTAGTTTTGTCCAAGTTGATCAAGGCGGTGTGTTAAACTGAAGTTGACCTCTGCACCGTTTCAAAAGGCTTGCTGACATACAGTTTATTTGCTAGAAAGAGAGAGAGGCTTAGTAGAAACTATGGAACTGATACAAATGCATGATGGTGGTACAGGTTTTGGTGTTGACATGGATGCGTTAGATGGGGCACAAAATAATGACTAAAACTACAAGAACTATATTCTTAATCTGTGCATTTACTCAAGGACTGCACTTTGAGTACATCTTTTTATGCCTCCTTGCTTTATTCTTTTGGTACACTGCTTCTTTACAGCAACATCCATACATGAAGCATTCTCTACTTCAGTTTTTTGTGTCTCTCAGTTAACAAATCAACTTACACATTAAACATAGAGTAAAAAAAGCAAGGTTTAATGTTGTCAGGTCACGGAAATCTTATTTTACATACAGATGTATCTTTACCCAAATCCTTCAGTAGACTGGCAACTTGTCCAGGATGTACCCCCTCTGTCCCAGTGACAGCTAAGATATGCTCCTGCAGTAGCTGCAGTAGTGAATGAGATCACCAGCAGTCTTTATTCACTAACAATCGGGTGTTTGTTGTTGCGATTGGTGCTGGAAACTTGTGTGAGAGTGAAACAAACACATGAAGCACCTTGATTGAAGTAACAAACTGCTAAGTTTATTGGGCAGAAACACTTGAAGATGAAATTAGGATCACACAATGAGGGAATGGGGAGGCTGAGACGTGTGAAAATACCAGGCTATTACTTGGTAAGCAGGAGTAACAATGTTCTCTCAAAAGAAAACACTGAGTGAGGAGCCTGCTGTATGAAACCCACTTTCTACTACACTCCCACACACAGCAGACCACATTCCCTCATGCAGTCTAATTGGGTGGTGACCCACCAGGCGAGTGATGTGATTGGCTGAAGGCCAGTCAAACAGGTCATTACAGAAGTTGGTATGTTCCAGGTTTTCAGTTTGTGCTGGAAGGAGAGTAATGCTCCCAGATAGGTGGCAGAGGCCATCTGCAGACAGTGTGTGTCGAAGTTTCCACCAAACACATTCCTGTAAGGCTTTAGGAGTGAGTCGCACAGAAAAAATGTGGTATTTGTTTCAACTTGTTTTGAGACTCCACTGTAAGTCATATTAAAGTTACATTTATTGTGTATGTCTTTTGTAGGAGTCTTGGTTGCACAGTGGTCGAAATGCTGACAGAAAAGCCACCGTGGGCTGAATATGAGGCCATGGCAGCGATATTCAAGATTGCCACCCAGCCCACCAACCCGCTTCTGCCCTCGCACACGTCCGACCAGGCACGGGACTTCATCCGCAGCATTTTTGTGGAAGCCAAACACAGGCCCAGTGCTGAGGAGCTGCTCAGACACCCTTTCTCCCAGATACTGTGTTGAGACCTGCGTGGTTTCTGAACTGAACCACAGAGTAGCCTCAGCAGCATGTGCAGCTTCCTTAAGATCCCAGAAATCCAGACATAGAGATGACTGAGATGTCAGTGTTAAGGGCACTGAGCTTCTTCCAGGACTCAGATACTTCAAAGAAGATTTCTCACAAGCACATCCAAAGAACACAAACAACACTGACCATGGCAGTCAACACGAAGCCTTAGAAATGCCAGTATGTGCTCTTACAAGAGTCTCCACAAGGGGGGAACAAAACACAGATTAAGTAGCTTGATAGATTCAAGCTCACACAGTCACACACACCAAATGATGCACTCCAAAGGCAGAATGATGTAGTTAAGGCTCAAGCACCAGTTGCATCAGCTCCCATGTTTACATTCACTTGTGCAGTTATGAGAAATACCAGATATCCTTAAGTATTTAAATCTAAACATGCAGCTTAGGCTCATTTTAAAGCTACAGTGAGCCGAAAGTGTAAGCTGAACCACAGTGTCGCTAAATGGACAGGATCGCTGTTCTGTTTTCCCCATCTTGTCCATCTCCATCTTTCTGAGACAAAGAAATCTCTCTTTTTTAAGCTATTTGTGATGCACTTTTTCAGTTTTTACCCCTTTAAAATTAAGATGTTTTAGGATGGTTTAGTTATCTTGGTAAAAGGGAAGATAGGAAATTTGGATAACATCATGATAGGACACAAATACACAAAGCCTGATGATATTATCTTGAATAGACGATGATCCTCCACAACTATGAGGGTCATTTGTTTTTCTGTTTATTGCATTTGAATGGATCTAACATTAGTTTATCTGGAAAATAGTCATCCTGCAGTCTTTGAACAGAATATATAAGAAAAATCTTTTTAAAACATGAAGTAGAAATCAAGACTTTGTAACTGCCAAAGAGTTGTCGTGTGCGGCTAAAGTAAGAAACGCACGTTACTCCCAACTTGACCAATTAGTTTAAATTAGTTAGTTTTTTACTCAAGTTTAATTTTGAGAAACTACATTTCTGAAGCAAACTTTTCAACGATTGCCAGGTGTTTTGTTTTTTTGACATGCTTCGCTCTTTCACTTGAAACTAGTTTTCATGTGTGAGAGGTGCAAACAGGAGCAATGCAGGTGCTTAGCCTGATCTAAGAGAGATTTTTCTAACAGTTAGTTTTCAGGTAGAAGAACAATATCTACTCTTTCAGGCCGTCTTAATGCATTCAGGTAAATTCAGAAAATCAGTGCGTTTCAATACAGTCTGGGGACTGAGCTGAATAATGTAATAAACAGTTTAAGGGATGTTTAGGGTGGAACTTCACCTCGTAGTAACTAATTTTTCTGTCAGACATCCTCCTGCTGTAGCTCAGAGCAGGAGTAGATAAACTAACCTTGTATGTATAAAAGTAAATCAGATGACGCTTTTTATTGTTTGAAAAGTCAAACTAAAGGCCTTAATGTGATGGGCCTTCTTCGTGTTCACGTGTGTCTGGCCCAGACCTCCCTGACTGAGAAGCTTTAGCGTAAAGATCAATTTAAATCAGATGCACTTTTCTATAAAAGGAATGTTTGTGATGTTTTGGTTTGTTTAACTTCAAATGTGAAAATTCTTTCACTTGTATTTATATCCCCATGTCCACTCCAGTTAGATGTTTATAGGTATATATGTTTAAATATATTTTTTATATTCAGACTCTGTCAAAGCTAATGATACTTTGAGGACTTAGTTTTGTTAAAAGTGACTCATTGAAAGCAACTGGTTTTGCAGACATTTCAGAAATGGGGTTTATAAATGAAAAATGGATGGAAAACGAACTCAGGCTGCCTGGTTTTTGTTCCAGTGCAGAAAAATGTTTCCACACATCCTTAGCTATACATTTTGAAGGCAGTATTACCTGACAGGTTATGGAAAATTTGCATGATTGGCCATACTGTTTTGACTCATCTAGGAGACACATGAATGAAACCTTTAGGGGTTTAACTTACAAAAGAAATTTCTAGGAATATTTTTCTGTGAACTCAGTGTTATTAAAGCATAATTAAGTGGTGTGTGAGCCAAAGACAAACAGGATCAGAGCCAGCGCTGAATGTCAGAGTTCGCTGTTCAACCCAGACGACGACTTTGTTTATCCCAGGGTTCAGACGAGTCCAGTATTAAATGATTTTTCTGGGCAATAAGCTTGCTACTGCCGTAACTGTAATAGAAAACTATTTCTATGGGGCTGCTACATGCTAAAGGCAGCTAAAATGTGTTTTAAGTGATGCAGTTTTAAAGAAATTAAGGACCCTAGGATGATCAAATGAATACAGACTAGCTGGTAGAAATCAATATATGTAAATGTATTATATGTATCATGACAAGACTTGCAGTGCAAAGTCTAATGTATCAAATTTATTTTACAGCAAGAAAAGAATAGTATGTTATATATAAATATATACTGTATATATGTCCTTCCCTGTCTCAAAAACAAATAAATAGTTTTTAAATATGTTGTCTAATTGTTATCAGTGTATTTATATGCGTGGGAGGACGAGCCTGTCCAAACCCAGTGAGTCCTGTAAATGAAGGGACACAGGAGACTGAGCTCATTGTTGGCAATAAGAAGCTACTTGATTGATGCGCTCGTTTTTCTTTTCTCTCCCTCCCTCGCTCTGTTTCTTCCTCTCGTTTGGCTCTTTCATTCCTCTCATGAGGGAAAGCAGGAGGCAGACACAGGAAGAAGAGATTTCTACAGGCCGTGTCCGCCTGTGAGATGGATAAACAGACTGTATCGAACAAAGGGTCTTTTTTTTTTCGTGAACTGGTGTCATATAGACATTCCCTTACTTTTGAGAGGCTTTGTTTTTATTGTCTTTTCACTTTTTTTTGAGAATGGGATTATAGTGTAGAGTGAGATTTTAGGGTAAATGACAGCTTTCTTTTCTTTTGTTTCAACTAATCATTTTACCACAAATGTGCTGCATAGATTATCCATAAGGAAACCATTATCATTGGTTTTAATTGGTTCAAAACTGTTTGTCAAAGCACATCCTGTAGTATTCTCATCCTATCAAAATACTTTGCTAAACTAATGACATCTCTGTCTGCTAGATAACTTAGTAACTAGTATTTGCAACTTGTTAAACATGGAGAACGAGGCCTCTAAATATCTGAAGGTTAGGATTATTACTGTGAGCTGATGATGTTAACGCTTATCCAACAAAAACTCTAGCGTGCCCTCTCTTTCTTGTCTTTAATGAGGCTGTAAATTCTGACATGTTAATGATTTTCTGACCTGAGTATAATCAAGTGAAGCTTGGGTTGTTATCTGAGTGCCATCCTCATTATGTGATGTGTAGGGTAAGCAGAGCTATCTGTGTGTATTTGGGCCCCCAGCATTCCTGCTGACAGGCAGACTGGAGCTTGGGCTCTAAACCCCGTCTCTCTGACGTCTTCTTTGTGGCTACGCTCTGTTTGGACCTAGTGGTGCTGAGTCATATTGCTGTTCAGTCTGTCCCAGTTAAGCCCCCCTGATTTTCATTAAAACCCTTTTCCCATAAGGCCTTGCAGCTTCAGTAGAACCCAAGCATTCAGCTGTGTTGTTTTTAACTGTCAAGTCTCCATCGGCACCAGCCTACAGTCAGTACCAGCAGTGGGAGAGTGCTCAGATCCTTTGTTTATTGCACAAGAACAGGTGTTTTCATTTATTTTCCCCAATTAGTCCTCTTTTTTTTGGGGGGGGGAGTGTTATGGAAATAATCAAAGTATGAAAACCTTCCCACCGTTGAAGCTGAATGAAGCAAGTAGGAGATTCAGACAGACAGGCACGCTCCACACACTCCACACACTCCTTAGATGGGATTTAATTAAGCATATAAATTAAAGGAGCTCAGTGCCCCTGTATTATATGTGACTAGTAGGGAAAATTGGAAGTAGGTTTAAGAATTTTATATGTTTTTAATATTTAACTTATAACAGGATGTTTTTATATAAAGGAAAGAACCATTTTTGTATAATGGCAGAAAATTAAATCTACTTATTTTCCCTCCACAAGTCTCAGTTAATCAGCCAAGAGCCCTGCACACCAGGTAAATGTAAAGATATGGTAGGTTCATAGTAATCTCATGTACAATAATTTCTCTCAAGAAGGACAAGGAGTAAAATGAAAACTATACTGCACCATGAGGATCAGTTTACAGACAAGAAATACGCCTAGTTTTAGGCATAAATAAAATCTGCATTAAATTATGTTGTTGTTTTTTAATATTCCTAACAATATCAGTGTCTGAGTTGGCTCAACTATGCAGGGAATTATGCAAAGTCACTAAAAAGTATAATTTGTCCTGACCAAACAAGTGCAGCAGGGGTGTGAGGGACACAATCAAGCACTCTCCCCACCTGCATAGTCGTTGGGGGATGCAAGTCTCATGTTCACAAGGATTAATGCAGAAAGGTTAAATTCATCTTGTTTAATTTGTTGCAGGACATCATTTTGTGGGTGTAACACTTTTTTTTTTAAACCCAAAGCACCTAGCTTTGATTAAGGCCTATCCCTTAATTTAAACCCTGTCTGTCCTTGATGTAGTGATGAAGGTGGGGCTGAGATAGTTGTATTTCCAGCTTGTTGGTCAGGATTCAGTTTGGTATGTGGCCATGTACATTCAGACATCAGCCAGGTTGAAGAATGGTAGCTGAGAGGTTCACACTGGGGTTTCTGGACGCAAAATGCCAGAGCAGTCAAACCTAGCTGGCTGCAGTTTTACCTTGGCCTGAGATCATTTCAGTTTTAAGATTCTGCCCCACACCCCTTCTTTTTGTAAGTCCTGCAGATGAGATGGTCTTCTTGTGCTGGATCTATGAATCAGCTGTTTGACTTGGCCCTTCATAAAACTCTTGCAGCAGGGAGCAAAGAGAAGGAGAGGTCTGCAGCACCACTTTTACTCTCTTTCTGCGTGGATGTTTAATCATCAGGTCATATTACCTCAGTGACCAGAACTGGGGCAACGGTGGTGACTGCCGGAAAAATTCAGAGGGGCGAAACAATTACTGTCACCTTAATGATGCAAGCATGCTATTAATCCTTAGAGATGGAGCCTTTTTAATCAACAAATCTCTGCCAGACTTACAGTGTGCCATCTTGTTTAACCTGCATTAAGAGATACCAATTAGAATTCAAGACAGTGCGTTGTTGTTTTTCTTCTTTACTAGCAACAACACTCAGAGGCCAAATAGTAAAGTCCTAGGGCCTTTATTCACTGTCTCCCACTGAATAAAGGCACTATGATTGGTCTACAGTCCCTGTGATTTTATGGCCTAGTAACAAAGAAATCCTTTATGAACCACTGCTGTTGTGGTTTTTACTACCTTCAGCAAGTTAATGTGCTACTGCCAGTCTGATCTTTCCAACACCAAACAAAAACAGAATTGATATTTTTTCTGGAATTTAACCAAATACTGGTACTTTTTTTTTTTTTTACCATGTTGCAACTGTTTGTTTGTTTGTTTTTTTTGGGGGGGGTGCAGAGCCCAAATGTAGAACTAAACAAAAGGCAAGCCTTTATAGAGGTTGATCAAGGTTCCAAATGTGATACAAAAAGTCCAAAGAAGTAGGAAATGCCAGGAAACATGAGGACACAAGAGCAGGACACACACTGAGGATTACACAAATGACACCAGAACAAAGAACAGAAGGAAGAGTGAGGTTTCTATAAACCCAGAAGGCTCATTAGGGATAAAGCACAGGTGGCAAAATCAAACAAAGGTGAAGAACAAAAACTTGCATGACCAAACATGGATACAAAAGACTTATATGAAATATATAAAATATAAATTAAAGATAGTGAGAAGGGAACACCTGAGGAGAAAGACATGAACACAGAAAGAGGAGATAGAGAAAAGAAAGAAACTTGCTACACAGTTACCGTAGCTTTTCTCATTAAAATTACTTAGAGTTATTTACTGTATCTTGTCAGCAACATAAAACCAATATTACTCATAGTTTTTTCAGCAGTATTTCCCTAAACCTTTAGTACTTTTGTGTCTTTTTCAGCTCTGTTTTTAATAATATTATTGTCATGCCAAAATACTCTGTTCTTGACATGAGGGATATATTATTGCAGAAGGAAATGGGCACTTGGTCAAAATCGCATTTCCATAAATCACATCTTCTTCAAAAAGATCAGCTGAGGTGGTCTGAGGTAGCCAGCTCTGTGGTTGTCAAGGTAATGGATGATAATGGTTTTGCAATGCAGACTCTGTTAGTCCTCAGAGTTCAGATTAAAAGGCTTTACTCACCAACTCCCTTCCTCCCCACATCTCACCACCTGACCCCACTCATCTCTGCCATCCATCTGTCTTTGGAAACAGCAAGACATCTAATAACCAGACACAGTGAACATCTCCAAGTCTTAACCGTTTCATTGGGAAGTGTTTTTCTTCTTTCTATTGAAAGGCAATAGATGTCTGTCTGTCTGTCTGTCTGTCTGTCTGTCTGTCTGTCTGTCTGTCTGTCTGTCTATCTATCTATCTATCTATCTATCTATCTATCTATCTATCTATCTATCTATCTATCTATCTATCTATCTATCTATCTATCTATCTATCTATCTATCTATCTATCTATCTATCTATCTATTAAAAGCTCCTGCTTTGAGATGAAGTGTTATAGATTAATATTTAATGGCATATATAATGAAAAGCCTGGGTCTTAAATAATCAGGTGCCATCTCATCTTTATAGTACCATAAGGTACTATAAGGTAAGATACCTTATAGTACCATATCACACTATTAGAGCACTTCACTGTAAAAGAGTACTTTATTGAGTACTTTATTGATCCCCGTGGGGAAATTCCTCTCTGCATTTAACCCATTCACTCAGTGAAGCAGTGGGCAGCCATTGGGCGCCCGGGGAGCACTGCAGGCTTGCTTGTTGTTCCTAGAGTAATAGTAGAATGGGAGGCAGAGCCTTCAGTTTTCAGGTCCCTCTTCTATGGCACCAGCTTCCAGTTTGGATTCGGGAAACAGACACTATCTCTACTTTTAAAATTAGGCTTAAAACTTTCCTTTTTGCTAAAGCATGTAGTTAGGGCTGAATCAGGTGACCCTGAATCCTCCCTTAGTTATGCTGCAATAGGTGTAGGCTGCTGGGGGATTCCCATGATGCATTATTTCTTCTTCAGTCACCTTTCTCACTCACTATGTGTTAATAGTAGTGCTGTCAGCGTTAATCTCGTTAAAATGACCTTAACGCCAAAACCGCATTAACGCGACAAATCTCCATTAGCAAGTTAGCGTGGCTCGCCCCGTGCGTGGGGCTGCATGGCGCTAATGCATTAACAAGCTAACTGCCGTGCAGCCCCACGCACAGGGCGAGCTGCGCTAACTTGCTAATGGAGATTTGTCGCGTTAATGCGGTTTTGGCGTTAAGGTCATTTTAACGGGATTAACGCTGACAGCACTAGTTAATAGACCTCTCTGCATTGAATCGTACTTGTTAT